GATTCGTCTAGTGTTGGGAATGTAAATAAAGTCAAGATGGCGCCTGACACTTTGCCAGGAGGAATGGTTTGTGATGTAATGCCAGCGAATCATTAAGATGATGAGGATTCCTTAATGACTGACTGCTGTATCTAGATGATGTTACTTAAGTTAAGCTATGTGTAATTATTTGTTTATATGTACCTCTGCTGTCTTGCAGAGAAGCGGCTCCTGCTATCTTGGTTCCCCGCTATTTTGAGTTCTCCCTCAGTTCATGCTGAGTTCACTCGCAATAAAGTAGTTCCCGCTTCAACCTTCAAGTTGCTTGTCACCTCTAGGTTATTTAGCCCAGCTGGTCTAAGGCATTCTAGGTATAGAATCATGTCATCAGCAAATTTAGTGCCATTTTTTTTCTATGTGTATTCGTTTAATTTCTTTTGTCTGTCTAATTTCCCTGGCATGGCCAGTATTTCAAAAATATGTTACATACAAGTTGTAAAAGAGAGCATCTCTGTCTTATTCCAATTTTTAGAGGGAATGCTTTCAATTTTTCTACATTTAGAATGATGTTGTCCTGGGGAATTTCATTCCACTTATTATGTTGAGGTATGTTCCTGTTATCCCTAAATTTTCTAGGTTTGAACATGATGGGGTACTGTATTTTGTCCAATGCTTTTTCTGCATCTATTGTGATGATCATATGATTCTTATCTTTAAGTATATTGATGTGATAAATTACATTTATTGATTTCCATATGTTAAACAACCTTGCCTCCATGGGATGAATCCCACTTGATCATGATGCACAATCTTTTTGATATCTCTTTGTATTCATTTTGCCAGGATTTCATTCAGAATTTTTGCATCTATGTGCATTAGAGATATTGGTCTGAAGTTTTGTTTCTTTGATGTGTCTTTGCCTGGCTTGGTAATCAGAGTGATATTGGCCTCATAGAATGAGTTTGGCATGCTGCCTCTTTTTTCTATTTCCTGAAACAAATTGAAGAGTATTGGAATTAATTCTTCTTTAAGGGTTTTGTAGAACTTGGTTGCATATCCATCGGTCCTGGGCTTTTCTTGGTTGGTAGATTTTTGATGTTGTCTTCTATTTCATTGCTTGAAATTTGTCTGTTTAAATTCTGGATATCATTGTGTTTCAATTTGGGAAAATTATATGACTCTAAAAATTGTCAATGCCTTTGATATTTTCTATTTTATTAAAGTACAAGTTTTCAAAATAATTTCTAATTGTGTTCTGTATTTCTGTAGTTTCTGTTGTGATATTTACTTTTTCATCATGTATCTTAGTAATTTGAGTTTTCTCTCTCCTTCTCTAAGGATCTGTCAATTTTATTATTTTTGCAAAGAACCAACTTTTTGTTCTGTCAATTTTTTCAATTGTTTGTTTTGTTTCAATTTTGTTGGTCTCAGCTCTAATTTTAATTATTTACTCTGTTCTACTGCGTTTGGAGTTGATTTGTTCTTCCTTTTATGTGGCTTTGAGATTTAATGTTAACTCATTCATTTTGACTTTTTCTTCTTTTAAGGAATGAATTCCATGCAATGAACTTTCCTCTTAGAACTGCTTTCATAGTGTCCCAGATATTTTGATATGTTGTATCAGTGTTCTCATTCACCTCTAATTTTTTTTAATCTCCTCTTTGATGTCTTTTGCAATCTATTGTTCATTCAGTAGTATTTTATTTAGTCTTCAGGTGTTGGAATAGCTTTTGTTTCTTATTTTATAATTAATTTCTAATTTCATTCCATTATGATCTGATAGAATTCAGGGTAGTATCTCTACCTTTTTATATTAGCTAAGAGTTGCTCTATGGCATAATATATGGTCTATTTTAGAGATGGATCCATGTGATACTGAGAAGAAAATGTATTCTCTCACTGAAGAATGAAATATTCTATATATGTCAGGTAAGTCTAAGTTATTATTTTTATTATTGAGTGTGGTGAGCCATTTCTGTGAACTGTGGGCGTCATTACAAGATGGCACTGATAAGCGCCGTGGCCTGTGATAAACAACTCCTTATTTTGGGAGAGTTGGCACGTAGCTGTAAAACACCCTATGAAAAAGATCCACGTGGCAGTTGTGCATTGGGGCTTGATGTGCTTTATCAAGGCTGGGGCGCTCGGGTGAGGTAGTAGAAGTAGAAGTAGAAGGGTAGAAGTAGAAGTAGTAGAAGTAGAAGTAGTAGTAGTAGTAGTAGTAGTAGTAATAGTAAAGAGAAGCTTCCAGAGACACATAATTAAAGGCCTGAATAAACTGCTGAAAGAAGAATCCTGTGTCGTGTCCTCCTTGCTGGTGAGGGGTCGCGGCAATTGAGTTCTACAGTTTCTTTGTTCAGCTTTTTTTTTGAAGATCTGTCTACTGATAGAAGAGGTGTGTTAAAGTCACCCAAGATTATTGTGTTGTTTTCTATTTTACTCTTGAACTTGAGAAAAGTTTGATGAATGTAGATGCTCCATTGTTTGGGGCATACATATTTACAATTAGACTTGTAATTGTTTAATCTTGTTGGTATATGGTTCCCTTGAGCAATTTGTGGTGTCCTTCTTTATACTTTTTGATTGACTTTAGTTTGAAGACTACTTTATTTGATATGAGGATGGAAACCCCTGCTTGCTTTCACAGTCCATGTGAATGATATGATTTTTTTCATTGCTTCACTTTCAGTCTGTGGATGTCTTTTCTTATGAGATGAGTCTTGTGGAGGCAGCATATAATTGGGTATTTTTTTGGATCAAATCTGCTAGTCTGTGTCTTTTGATTGGTGAGTTTAGGCATTAACATTGAAGTTTATTATTGAGACATGATTTGTATTCCCAGCCATTTTTGTTTATTTTTCATATTTAATATGACTTGGTTTTTTTCTAGGATTAGATTTTCCTTTAGTGTAATATCTACTTCTACTGATTTTCACTGTTCTTTATTTCCTATTCATGAAATATTTTGCTGAGGATGTTCTGTAGTATAGGCTTTCTAGTTGTAAATTCTTTTAACTTTTGTTTATCAGGGAAGGTTTTTATTTAATCATCAAAGCTAAAGATTAGTTTTGCTGGATATAAGATTCTTGGTCAGCATCCATTTTATTTCAGAGCTTGGTATATGTTGTTCCATGATCTCCTGGCTTTGAGGGTCTGGGTTGAAAAATCTGCTGAGATATAAATTGGTCTCTTCCTATGTGTGTTCTGATTCCTCTCTCTTGCAGCTGTTAATATTCTATACTTATTCTATATGCTAGACATTTTCATTATAATGTACCTTGGTGTAGATCTGTTGTAATTTTGTACATTTGGTGTCCTGTAAGCCTCTTGTATTTGGTTTTCCAATTTGTTCTTCATGCTTGGGAAATTTTCTGATATTATCTCATTGAAGAGATTGTTTATTCCTTTGGTTTAAAACTCTGTGCTTTCTCTATTCCAATAACTCTTAGATTTGGCCTTTTGATGCTGTCCCATAAGTCTTGGATGTTCAGTTCATGGTTTCTTACTATCTTCACTGTGTGATCCACTTTATTTTCCAGATTAGATACTTTGTCTTCATTATCTGTTATTCTTTCTTTCACATGATCTAGTCTGTTGGTTATGCATTCTATTGAGTTTTTTATTTGGTTTATTGTATTCTTCATTTCAAGAATTTCTGACTGTTTTTTTCCAGATTCTTTATCTGTCTCTTAAAGTAATCTTTTGCTACCTGTATTTGCTATCTTATCTCTTTGTTGGAGTGATCAATTTTTGCTCATTTAGATCATTCTTTAATTCACAGATTATTTGAATTATGAATCTTCTGAACTCCTTCTCTGACATTTCATCAACTTCACTGTCCATGGGTTCTGTTATTATAGTGTCCTGTTTTGTTTGAGACACTTTCCTCCCTTGTTTTTTCATGTTGTCTATGTGTCTTCCTTTTTTGCAGTGTGGATCTGACATATTACTATTTCTTCTCCATATTCTTATAATACCCATGCAGATTGTCTGTACCTCACCTTGATGTTGGGCTTCCAGACCCTGTTGGTGTCTCTCAATATATGTTACTGCATCTAAAATTGGTGGTGGCAATAGCAGAGATAAGTCGAGATAGTAGTTAAGGTGCCCCAAGATGGAAGCAATTCTTACAGAGATAGGGCTGAAAGGGTGGGCCTCACACTCTCTTTGGGTTGCCTGCTCTGAGATGCAGCTGCTTCTAGGCCCTTTCTGCTGTCAAAAGTTAGGAGTTCCTATGTGGGGAAGGTTATGGCAATTATTGCAGTGTCTCAAGATGGAAGTGAGTTAGGCTTAGGCTCCCAGGTGTAGGGGAGAAACTCAGACCTACTCTGGACTTGGGTTCTGCACAAGTTGGTGTGGGTGGATGTGGGCTGGGTCTAGCCTCCAGCAGTAGTCTGCTGATCAGAAGAGGTGATCCTGTGCTGGAGACTGGTCTCATATGGGTGTCTGTCCACCAGTGGAGGGGATGGACCTGAGCCTATTGTGAGCCTGGATCCCACCAGGGTGTGGGAAGATCTGGGCTGGGCCTGGGCTCCTGCAGTAGTCTGATGGTTAAAAGGGGACAATCCTGTGCAGAGGCTGAACTCCTGTGGGTCAATATCCTTCTCATTATACTGAAAATTTTTCAGAGAACTTGAAGAAATATTTTTTTTAATTAAAAATAATTTTCTAAAATAGCCTTGTGATTAACTTATGGGAATACTTATGGGGAAAAGATATACTTAGTACATTGAACTCATTAAAACTAATATGACATGATTTTAATCCAGGTCTCAGTCACACAGTATTTTCTAAGGAATTTTTACCCATAGATTCTGATCTCTTAGAAACATTTTTACTGGGGAATATTTTTTATGACTATATTGATTGCTATCATATCTTTCATTATATTTTTTGAATTATTTAGTATTTAAGTAAGAAAAAGCATGAATTAGCAAAACATCATCTGATTTTGAGTTTGTGATTTAAAAGGCATTTGCCATATTATGAAATAAATGGGTCAATAAGAAATATTAAAGAGTGTCTGTTTGGGCAGCACATACACTAAAATTGGAATGATACAGAGAATGTTGTCATGGCCCCTGTGGAAGGATAACACACAAATCTGTGAAGAATTCAATTAAAAATATTTCAAAAATTCAGGGAGAATAATGGGCTTTTAAATTTTATTCAAAAGTAGGTTGCCATAAAATTTAAATAATTTTTAAATAATACAGAATCGTTAATCTATTTCTCTTTGTTTATCAAATACTTGCTGTGATAATAACCAGAAAGATTTTCTTTTCAATAAAATCCAGAGAGAATTCTCAAAGGGTGCATGCAACCAGAGATTGAAAAAAAACTATTTATTTTCACTATTATTAGACTCTTTGTTTATATCTGAGACTTCTGCAGTCCTCATGGACAATAGCCCAAGAGCCTGCACATAATTGACCTTATGATCATTTCTCTCTCAGTGGACTCCATCAGAGATGAGCAAATCCTCTATGATGAAATACTCTGTATAAAGGTTTTACAGAATAAAAATAACTAAAGCCATCAAAGACAACTTCTATTCTGGCAGATAATCATGGAACCTGGATGACAGAAGATTGCAAAGGTCATTAAATATCCATGGTTATTCCATTTTCTTCATTTTAAGATGCATAAATATACCAGAATTAAAAAAAATATTTAGATTTTTTTTAATTTAAAGACAGAGTGAAAGGGAGGGAGGGAGAGAGAGAGAGAGAGAGAGAGAGAGAGAGAGAGAGAGAGAGAGAGAGAGAGAGAGAGAGAGAGAGAGAGAG